TTTTCATTAGCTATTGCGAATCTATAACAGAGAGCTGTAACTGGTCTGGCAAAAACATTGTGTATTATATTACCAAGCTTATAGGTTTGCTCGACCGCGTGATTTGGCCGGAAAAGGGAAATTTGCTCGAAGGGACCACTTGAATGGAGTGGACGACTCAGAAGAGCCAGACCAATGGCACCTTCCATGACTATCTAAAAGAACGTATTTGCTAAACCTCAGATTTTAGCCTTTTTACAGAAAACACACCTCATCTGATTGCTCAGCAGCAGCAAAAAGTTCTTTCTGATGATCAGGAATGAAATCAGTGTAAACATTACCCTAAAAACTATGGATACAGAGGATAAGCGGGGAAAAAAGATGAATCAGAGTCCAGATGACCTTCGCGAACTCTGGATGCTTCAGAACTCTTCGTACAAACTGAATGTTAGTGGGTAAACCACTGATAAGCGTGCGAGACAATGCAGAATCTAGTTTCGCTGCGGCTGCAGCACGATCCTCTGCCCAAACCACGACCTTAAGAATAAATAGGTTACGCCAAGAATATGTCATGTGAAAAAATTGATGCAAGCAATGTGGAGAAATGCACACCTTAGCTATCATAGGATCATAATGTACAGACACTTCATCTCCAGAAACAACGCCACTGTCTACTCGTGCGTCTGTTGGGAAGGAAACGTATTCGAGTTTACCTTAAAGTAGCTCACTGAAGTAGAAAGAGGAGTTGCACAGTTGATCAGATTATTACCTGCAGTGGGCATAAACCTGCCATTCTTAGTATCTTCGGCATATACTCTGCACTCAAAAGCATGACCATTAAGAGGAATCTGATCTTGCTTCAATGGCAACTTCTCTCCTTGAGCAATCTTCAGTTGCCATTCAACAAGGTCAAGGCCTAAGAGAAGACAGAGGAAAATTTTCTTTGAGCGATACTCTCTGTACTTGCCAACAAGTGTAACAGCATATAGCATGATAATAAAATGATAATGAAAAAAGGATTATCAGGTAAGAGTTATGACACAACTAACCCGTGATGGCTTCAGTGATAGGATGTTCCACTTGAAGACGAGTGTTCATCTCCATAAAATAGAAGTCACCTTTCGGATCTAATATGAATTCGACAGTACCAGCTCCAACATAGCCGACTGCAGCTGCAGCTCGCACAGCAGACTCGCCCAGACGAAGCCTTGTTTCTCTGTCTACGAATATTACAGTCACCATAGAAAATTACAAACACTTTAAACAACATCTGAATGGGCATGATTTGAGCATAGCAAGTATCGATATCCTCAAGGATAAACACCTGTAGTTGTCTCTTTTCATGATTTTTGTAAATAAAGGTTTTTTCACATGGCTCTGCAAAGCCAGTCCTGAAAGAGAAGAGATATAACTGACTGATAAGTGGTGCCGGAGCCTCCTCAATGATCTTCTGATGCCTTCTTTGCACAGAACAATCGCGTTCCCATAAATGCACATGATTACCATAATGATCACCAAATACCTAAACAGCTAAATCTAAATAGTACACTGGTGCAACAGATGTATAAAAATATAAGTGGAAAAAAAATCGATTTGATAAGAGTTATTACAGGAACTCAGGAGCTAGTTTTAAATTCGGAGGAAGTTCTAAATCACTCATAGCAATCTTACTATTTCTCCAAAAGATCAGAAGTTCACTGCGAAGTATTGTGATTGATAGAAATCAATCGAAAAAGGACTCGCTTATCTGCGCGACTTTTTTTGAGCAAGAAGCTCTGCTGATCAAAAGAACACGTAGCAGATAGCCCTTGACTTGGCGCATTTTAGGGGACTTCGTCAGCCCAATTCCTGGATTTTCCATGATCCAATATCCATTTTTTTCGGCAAAATTCGACGAGAACTTATTTCTGAGAGCTTCCTGATTCTTTCTGAAAGCATGGTAACTTCTTCACAAAACAAATCTTATGCACAAAGGTTGGTGTAAATGCCTCCAAACGTTACTCCCTTCCTATCGAATTTTCTAGAATCAATTCAAAATATTGTATGATTATTCGCTAAAGTACAGGGTTTATTTTTATGAGCAAGTTATGCCATTAGATTCTCCTGTACTTCCTGATAACTAGCGAGCAGACATTTTAGCAGAATTTGATCGTATGAGTTAATTAAACCCTTTTCCAACCTGATAATGAACTCAAACGAAAATACCCCAAAGAGTCTAATAATGAAAAAAACAATATCGGATCACGAGAATTCAAATCCGGTAAAATGAACCTGTACTTCCACATGACGTGGTCTTTCAACAAATTTTTCAACCAGCATCTCGTCATTCCCAAATGACTTCATTGCCTCACTTCTCGCAGACGCTAATTTTTCGTCAAACTCCGACGAGGACCATGCTATCCTCATTCCTATAATGTACATAAAATGATTACACCAAAAAGGCAGTATTTATACGCACCTTTCCCACCGCCCCCGTAAACAGCTTTGAGCATAATAGGGTAACCTTAAACAACATCTAGAATAGAACAAAAATGAGAATAATTAAGTTGACAAAGACCTATTCTCTCAGAATGTGCCTTCAAATTACTATCCGACTGATCAGATCCATGAAAACCTTCAACAACTGGTACCTTAAAACACAAAAGTTGCAATTTCTCATTGAGTTGCAAAGGACTTAAAGACACCTTCGCTTCATGCATGATCTGCTTCGCGATACTCTTAGTACCCATATCTCGGATCGCCTGCACAGGCGGCCCTATGAAAACAATACCAGCCTCAGCACAACGCTCAGCAAATTTAGCATTTTCAGAGAGAAAGCCATATCCGGGATGAATGCCCTAAAAGAGAACTAAGTTTTATTCTAGCCTAGACGACACAAGAAACAAACAGAAGGAAGGCACCTGTGCACCAGCCGCGAGAGCAGTGCTAATAATTCTATCGATGTTCAGATAACTTTCTGCAGCAGCAGCTGGGCCGATATGGAATGCCTGTATAAACATATTTTCTTCAGCTTACGATGATAGACAGTTTCCCAAATAATACCTTATCAGCTTCTTTCACGAAAAGCGCATCTCTGTCGGCATCGGAGAACACGGCTATGGATTCAATGCCCATTTTTCTCGCAGTGTTTATAACACGTATGGCGATCTCTCCCCGATTAGCGATGAGAATACGACTAATTCTCTTAATTAATGGTGCATTTGCTGAAGACATCAAGTGATGAGCGCACTTGAAGCTTTTGTTTGCTCGAAGCATGCTGAAATTGCTATCACATCTCGTAGGTATGTACTAACGGAATATCTTCCATAACCATTAACTCCAAAAATGTTATGACATGTGTGACAAAACTGAAGGATGAAAGCACCTCCAAAACATTATATATAAACCCATGGAGTGACTTGATTTAACATTACAATTTATTGATTGCAGTGACCGCACTGCAACTTATGTGTCCCAGATCTGCAGTTAAACTTAGCAAACATTATTGATGTGCTTTAAATTGCCTCTATACTACATGAGGATCGGCCGATGCTTATGAAATGCACAAATAAGACTCGTCCCATCGAGGGTATAGCGTGGTTGTGTCGCGACCCATGTCAACCAAAAAAACTGAGTTCCAATGCTGCGCTTCAGATCTTGGCTTAATTGATTTCTGTAGGCAACATCATTCTCTGGAGTTCAGTGTGGAAGTGCGCCTGCGACCGACCGCAGAGAACCGAGATTATTAGCAAAACTTGTTCTCACTCCATGACGTACAAGTGCATGTCAGCTTAATGTTTGGTGCAACCCTTATTGCAATAATTCTCAACCGACAGAACTGGTTTTACTAATGCAGTTCACAAATTTCAAGTTCCTCTCAAGAAATTTTTAATTATTTGACTTACAGGTTGATACTAGCTTAAAAAAGTTGCAAAAAGAAATAAAATAGACATGAAGTTTGTACATATTTGCTAGAATTCAAACAAGTATGGCTGATTTCTCATACTCTTGTGCCCACATTTCGTTGCCGCACTTGTTCCACCGCCATCGAGAACTCTAAAGCTGCTTGCAGAAAGAAACCAAGCTAAACCCTGAAGAAGAAGCGCGACATGATTGGAAGTTAGGCTGAGTTCCAGCAATAAGGATCGGCCAATCAAGGCACGGCGCGATCGCGTGCTGCGTCGTAGTCAAATACCAATGTTTTCAAAATTAAACTACGCACCGCTCCGGTATACTCTTTGCCGTCTTTTGAAAACTTTAAAACAACTAAGGAAAAAAGCAAGTCAAAGTCTGAAGGAAAAAAGTGGCAAACTGTTATGGAAAGGCAAGTCGGCACTGCTTCATCGCAACGCAACCGTTGAGCACCTTTGATCAACGATCCTCGAGTGAGCGCTGATTCAAAGAACCATTACCGCAAAACTTAGCAGTAGATACTTAGTTACAACATACAATCTGCTTCGATTGGAATTGGCTACGTACATGTTCCGGCAATGCGCCAAATGCGGGTCGTAACTAGAATGCAGCGTATTTCCATACTTCATGAGTATCGACCGATCCTTTTGTAACCGCGCGAGATCAGCCGATTGAGGCAGTGTGATGCTGTTGTAAAGCGACGCTACAGTCAAATAATAGACTTAGACGTAATTTGGGTACCACTCCTTCAGCATATTTTCTGCGCATCGCTACGCTTTTCGGAGTTTGACATAGGATGAACAAAAAAGCAAGTCAGAGTTTGGACAAGCGCGACAAAATTGATAGAGCTGAACTACAGCACAGTTGGTATTGCGCAGAAGTAGTGACTTTCTCAAATCGAATCAATAAATCACTAATTACGAGTTTACAACATAAGGGTACTTTTGAAAGACCTAAAAAGCACTGTGATGAAAAGTACTTAGATACTTAGATGGCCTGTCTTCACT